TTACCAAAGCAGCAAGTCTATTGTTTCTCGAATTTTATTTCCATGCTGAACTTCACTTTTGCCTTTACATCTAGGACACGCTTATTCTGCTTCCACGGACACGAAACACCCTTATTTCCTCGCTGTTCATAAGCTGTGACTCTTTTTCTTCTTTTGTATGTTTCTTAATAAAGGTGAATATTATTCTTCGTCGAGTTTGTCCGGACTATAAAAGCATTTTTGAAATATTTATGTTAGATGACAGAAACATTTAAAATAATACAAAGAATAAAACGCAAATTTAAAAAATAAAAAACAAATATCCTACCCTTCATTTGTACAGCGAGCTATTGTCATAAAATTAGCAACATGGGATTTTCAAATTTTTGGTTCAAAATATGATAATGATATCATTTCGTTCTTAATTCTCTTGTTATATATTGTTTTAAAAGAAAAATTAAAAAAATTAAAAAATGGAATTAAAAGACCAATATGAAAAATTTTCAACTTTTCAAAAAGTCATATATGGAAAAATAAGTTTCATTTTAATTATCAGTAAAGTCTTTAAAAGCAATCTGTGATTATTCTTCAACTGGTTTTTCACATTCCTAGTAATCAAAAAGAAGGTCATCGTGATCTTTGTTTACATTCATACCACAATTATTAAAGAGCGTCTTTCCGGTTTTCCGGAATCCTTTATTGCCCTTTCCACACTACAAGTCTTCTCATTCTCTTTCACTTCCTGCTAGCTGCTACGTCCTAGTGTCACAATCGTCTTGCTTGAAGTGAAATGATTAAAAAACAAACAAATAAACACGGAATCAGAAGAAAGAAGAAAGAAAAAGTTAATAAAAAATCATAACGTTTTCGCATAGGCTCATTATGAAATAAAACTAAGATATTGTTTATTATTGCGGTTTGATCGCCCTTAAGTCTTCGTGTCATAATATAAAGAGTTAGGACTCTCTTTCCTTTTCAACAACAACGATTTCTCCATGAAAATTTTTAGAAACAAAAAGAAAGACAAATGAAATAAAAGAAAAGGTTCACAGAGAATTACAAAACATGTTAGGAACTGTTGTCGATGGATATGATCACGCAAAGAAAACTTAAAAAGAGAAACGGAATAGATTTTTTTTACAACTCAGAACAATTCAGTATATTAAAGCAAAAAAAAAAAACACATAGAGAAAAAAGTTAAACTGCATCATCACTGAATGCAGAAAACTGACTAATGAAACAAATTTAAAAATAGAGACACGACTGGGTAGGAAAAGTCATATAATGGTAACTGCGCAAACGATCTTGATTCGGCTATAGAAACAAATGTTACTATAGACAAGGAGATGAGTGTAAACGACATCATAACCGAATATAGATAGCTGACTAAAGAAAAAAGTATTATAGAAGCAGACACAAAAGGTTAGGAAGAATTATACACTGGGAAATATAAATTATAAGGAATTAATGGATTCTATCATTAATCCCATATTATTTCTTATTGCTGCAAACGTTCTTATAGCGGATCCACATATATGAGTAGACACTCTGTTTTTTAAACAGTGTAAAATATGTCAATCTCCTGATGGATAAAGAAGACACTCGAAGCAACAAAAATGTGGTTCTACAGAAGGATGCTGAGAATACCGAACATGTGAGCTACGACGGAGATCTAGAAATAGTAGCTTCAAAAAGGACTCTTGCATTTAACATCAGAAAGGAAAAGTTGAAATTTCTGGGGCGTATACGAAAGAAAATGGGTTTGGGACATTTGATAGTCACTGGACAGATTAGAGTAAAAACCACCAGATGAAAGAAATGCACAACCTACCTGGAGAGCTTCAGTCAATGGGTGGCGGTACAGGGTTTGGGAGAGATGGCAAAAAGACGAAAGTTATTAAGAGCTACAAAGGAGAGGAAATTGTGGAGAGCCATGATTGCCAACGTTTTGAATGGAGTCGACACATAGAAGAACAAGTTCGTGTAAATGGATGGCAAAAAGACAAAAGCTATTAAGAGGTAGGAAAATAAGGTAAATTGTGGAGAGCCATGATCGCCAAAAGCCTGATGGGGTAAGGATATAGAAGAAGAAGAAGAAGAAGAAGAAGTAGAAGACTATAATTTAAGATTTTTTTTTGTAATTTTGAAAGAATTTTTAATCCGACATTATAAGCGTCATGTTTAGTCGGTACGTATCTTCGTAGCTAGATCAGACCGAAAATGGGTTACTGCTGCCAATAATGGGCTGGAGCTGTCCAGTTTTCCTTACACAGTCTCGATAGAATCCAAAAGCGACTCCGCGTCCTTGTGGGTGATGAATTATTTTCCACTCTACAATCCCTTTCCCTCGCTATTTCCATGGAAATTGTTTAGATGAACTACATTCCTTAGTTTTATCAATTCTAACCTTCACGGGTAAGAACTGCAAGGCCTCGCCCAATGTAGCAATCTACACTCATTCGCTTCGTATGTAAGTTCCACTCGAACAGCACCTTCCCACAAACCGTAGTGAGGTGTGGTAGAAGGTCAGGAGGAGGGGAAAATCACTTCCAATAGAATTGATTTCCTCCTCTCCTCTCCCTCATACTTCTATCACACCCCACGTCGTGCGCTTGTTCATTTATTTTATTTTTAAAAAATATAGCGTTTATAATTTTTTTATTTTAAAAAATGACGCGTTAGGAAATCAATTGACGGAAATTGCCGGAAAATACGGAAAGGTTTAAACCAAGGCAGCGGAATCGGCTGTTAAAAACTTTACATGTAACTCTTTTATCTTTTTATGTGTGTATTGAGCAATTTTTAATACGACTGCTTCCTGGTCTAATTCAGTTTTGACCATTAACTTAAATGTTTTTACCGAAAACAATATGGACCAAACATCTAATCCATTGTACAATTAATAAAAACAAGGATCGTGTCGTTCAGCGATTGGTCAGTAGGTTAATGCCTTTTTAATCTGTTAGCGAATTAAATTCGCCATTAGTTACATTAACTTTATTGATTTATTCTTTGAATGGCTATTTTAAAACACACACACACACACACATATATATTATAATTTAAAAAAAAAAAGATTCCATCGTGATACAGAAATTCCTGTTTCGAAACTGGTCAGCAGTATTCAGGTTTAATTTCAATATTAAATCCTAACTACCGGGTGGTAGGCGATGTTCTGAGGATGAGAAAGGAGGCTTTGAAAATTTAACTTAGAGGAGGGCAGCGGGAAACCTACCTGACGAATCAGATGGGTAGATGACCGAACACGAGGGTCACCAGGGTTAGGACGATGTGGAGGAACACGGAACATCCCTGAAGAAGATGACAATCCCACGGATTGTTTTTCTTCATTTGTGAATCACCATGACCCCTTGGAAGTATTTATTACTTCCAAGGGGTCATGGTGATTTAACATTGGTTTAACATTGGAGTGGTTTAACATTGCCTTCTCCATTGTTTTGAATTCAGAGTTGTCGTCGCCCTTGACTGACACCAACCCCAAGTCTAGACCTCCTAGTTTACTCTGTTATGATTTGTGAAATGGCATGGCATCTTTGGGAAGATAGTGGAGTGATTTTCCGTTGATTTCTCCACGCTTTTTAATTCAGAATACTTATTATTATATCCACTCTATTGCCCAAGACTAGAGAGCCGAATCCTCATTGCTATCTATGACAGTCTGTTCATTATCTATCTCTCTCTCTATATATATATATATATATATATATATATATAGGTGTGTGTGTGTTTGTGTGCGTGCGAGAGTGTGTGTCTGTTCCTCACTGCTATATATGACAGTCTTTATATGGTCAAGATCCGTAGACGTATTGGGATGGCCAAGGACGCATTCCAAAAGCTGGGCAGAGTATTGCTAGACAGGAGGATTTCTTTGGTAACAAAGAAAAAATACTGAGCTGTTACGTGACATCTGTCCTTCTTTACGGTAGAGAATGTTGGACGATTTCCTCAAAGATGAAGAAGAGACTCGAGGCGACGGAGATGTGTTCTACAGAATGATGCTGAGGATACCATGGACGGGGTGTGTGAGTAATTATGAGGTCTTGGAGTGAATGCAAAGAGGAGGATTACTGAAGTTTCTGGAACACGTAATGTGAAAGGAAGGGTTGGTGAATCTGATACTCACAGGTCGAATAGAGGGAAAGAGATTCAAGGGAAAGCAACGCATGACATACCTGACGGGCTTAAGCAAGTGGATGATAGAACGTGGTCTAGGGAAGGAAGCAGAGAGAGAAAGCTTATTGAGAGCTACAAGGGATAGGAGGAAAGTGGAGAGCCATGATCACCTAAAAGGAGACGGTACATAAAAAAAAGATATGTTCAAGAAATTTCAGCTGTCTTTTTCTTGTTCTTTTTATGTCTTCTCACATTTAAGGACTACGCCCATTTTTATCGCTTTCCTTTACCGCTTTCTGTAGGATGTCAAGTAGTTAACAAAATCACCTGAACTTTACCTACATTGGAAACTCTTATATTTTCTTGAGTTTTCTAATATATTAATCGTATTTTTTTTGTTAGAATTGGAAATGTTTGGTGTGTTTAATTATTAAGAACAGCCCAATAAAATCTCGTTTACTTCACATCAATACAGCTATTTATTCCGAAAGTTGACTGTCTTTAAAACTGGTTCATTATCTACGCCATGTTATATTCGGTTACCAAACGATTTCAAATTCAGCGTTTTTCTTTCTCATGTTCATCCTTACATTTTCTGCCTGTCTACGTAATGGCGATAATACGCCCGTTTTCTTGTCTTGGGAAATTATGGGGAAATTAGTTTTGGGACGAAAATGAAAAAATGAAAAAGAAACTGCCTATAAGATAGAAATAATAGCTTCTTGAACATAAAAAAATACAGGAAAAACAAACATTATTATCAGTAAGGGGAGAAAAAGGTGATGGCAAAATAGAGTTTAAACAATTTTTTCCTGTTAGTCTTCCGTCGGGAACGCGCATGCGTATTCTCGTGAAAAGGGTGTTTGATGCATCGTAATTTGGATAAATCAGCAAATATTAAGAGAAAGAAAAGAAAGAAAGAAAGAAAGAAAGAAAGAAGAGTAATAAAACGCAAAAAAACCCCCCAAAAAACTCCTAGCGGAAAAGAAACGGAAAAAGTTCTTGAAGGGAAAGAAAAAAAGAAAACTGAAGGTAAATGAGAAAAATGCATTGCAAAAATGATTGAAAATTAGGGAATGAATCCAAAACTACTACAATAAAAAATAAAGAGAAATAAGGAATAAGTTTTAAAATAATAAACGAAATGAGAAATGGAGGAAAAGGTGAAAATATATGAAAGGCAAAGAGAAAAAATAATAAGAAAAAAAACAGAAAACGTAAAAAATGAAGAAATTTTTTTAAAGCACTTCCTCCCACACAAGGCGGGAGTACCACAAGCACGCAAGGGGTTACACAGGGTAGAGAACAAGAGTAAGGGGGTGTGTTTGGGGAGAGGATAAAGGTATCAGAAAATGTCGATTGACATTACACTTGAATATTGGAAGATTAAGCAAGTAAGAGTCAGAAAATTCCACAGACGGGAAGTGCAAGAGAAGAAGCTGTTGGAGTAGAAGAGACGGTTACATTTAAGCATTTCGACAGTGAAAGGGTGAGACCAAGATGCCAACCAAGTAGATCGCTTAAATTCATGCAGTCCGGGAACCAGAGAAAGAAACTCGTCGGAATAGTTGCCGTGAAAATACTTGTAGAAGAGACAGAGGGAAGCTACGGCACATCTGTGAGAAAGTGACTGTAGACTAGATGCCAGATCAGGATCTATCACATTGCATATCCGTCTCTGGATTTTGTCGAGGACATCGAGACATTCCTTGCAGTAGATGAAGCTATTGAATCTATGTATTTGTTCAACCTCATATCAGGGGACAGCGTGAGTCTAAGCAGGCGCAACAAGGCGCTCTCGAGGAGTTGGACATCAGCCATTCCGATGCAGAGGCAGGGAGGATTCTCTATGGTGGGTAAATGGCAGCAGTTTCGTTTTGGAGGCATTAAAGTTTACAAGCCATTTCCTGCCCCAGTCATCCAGAGATTGGATCTCCTTTTCAAGACCTGCGGTCTGATTAGATTTGTCAACGATACTAGATTTACTATTGAGGCAGGAGTAAATAGTAGTGTCGTTCGCGTGAGATGCCTGCTTGGGAAATGATGACAGCGGGAAGGTCATTGATGAAGATCAAGAACAGTGTAGGGCCCAAGATAGAGCCTTGATGGACACCATCGTTCGTGATAAAGGAGCTGGAGGAGAACCTGTTTATGACGACCTTCATTTCACGGTTTGACAGGAATGATTGGATTAAGTCAAGCAATCGTAAGTACGAAAAGGAAAAGAAAATAATAATAATAATAACATGCAAAAAATATTCAATAAAGGAAAAAGGAAAAAGATATGAAAGGCAAATAAAAAAATTATACGAAAAGAAACAGAGAATGGAAAAAATGAAGAAGAAAAGGAAGAAAAGGAAAAGAAAATAATAATAATAATAATAATAATAATAATAATAATAAAGACCACATTGTTATTAAAGACCACAAACAAAAACGGTGCCTCCTTATTGATATGACAGTCCCTGCTGACTGCAATTTATCTTTAAAGATATTCAAAAATGTGTCAAAATACAAGGACCTTGAAATAGAAATCTCAAAAATGTGGCATATGGGAACATCAACAATTTCTGTTATAGTTGGAGCCCTAGGACTTGTTGGAAAAGATTGCAGAATAATAATTGAAGGGATTCCTGGAAGTCCATGCCTCAAGGAGATACAAAAAATTGTTCTGACAAGTACAGCCCACACTTTACGAAGGGATTTTATCTATGTAATTTTTTTTGTCAGTGGAAAGTGTCATGATGTCATTTCTAACCTTAGGTCCCTGGGCGGGACCCGGAAAGAAATGTGTAAACGCCAGAAATCAAAGAAAATAATAATAATAATAATAATAATAATAATAATAATAATAATAATAATGAACAAACAAGCAAAAAGGATAAATGAAAGAAATAAAAAAAAAATGAAGAAAGAATTCAAGGGACCTGGGAAAGAAAATAATAAATAAAAAAGAAATGAAGTAAAAGAAAATGAAAGAAAATGGAAGAAGAACATAAGAAATAAGAATAGAAAGATTAATAAATGTCGCTGATTGTGAAGAAAAATAAGAAATGAAGGAAAAGGGGTAAAGAAATAAATGAACGAAAAAGGAAAGAAAACTAATAAATTAAAGAAAAAATACTCGCAATAAGAGATGAGCCAGAAAAAAGTAAGAAATGAAGGAAAAAGAAAATGAAAAATGAAAGAAAAAATAAGAATTAAAATAAAAAGAGAAATAAATGAACTTTACAAGGAACATAAGAAAAATGAATGAAAAAAAGAAATAAAGAAAAAAGAAAAATTAATAAATGAAATAAATTGAAGATGAAAATAAGAAACTAAAACCGAAACAAAAATAAATGAAGGAAATTGAGAAGGAAAAGAAAAGATGAAGCAAAAGACGAAAGAAAATAAATGAACGAAAAAGAAAAGAACATAAAACGAGAAGAAATAAAAAAAAAGCAAAGAAATTAATGAAGGAAATTGCGAAGAAGAAATAAATGAAAGAAAATAGAAGAAAAATAATAAATGAGCGAAAAGGAAAATAATCAATTAAGAAAAAAAAAAGAAGAATAAGAGTAATAAATGGAAGAAAAGAGAAAAATAAAACATCATTGAATAAAGAAAACAAATGAATGAAAGCGAGAAGAAAACTAATAACTGAAAAAAGAGAGAAAAAAAAGGAAATTGTGGGAAAATGAAAAATTCGAAAAATGAAGGTAAACGAGAATAAACGGAAGAAAAGATAAAATAAAAATGAATAAGAATAAAAATAAATGAATAAAAAACATTAAATAAATAACAAAGAGAAGAAAAACTACAAATGAAGGAAAAGAGAAAAAGAATTAAAGAACAATAAATAAATAAAAATGAAAATAAATATAAATAAAGTGAAAGAGAAAATAAAATAAATAATGAAAAAGAGGAAAAATAATGAATGAAAGAAAAAATGAATGAAAGGCAATAGAAAGTAAAGAAAGAAAAACGTAAAGGAAATGACAATAAATGAAGAAAAAAATGAAGAAAAAGAAAAAGGAGAAAAATTAAATGAAGTCAAAATGAAAAAAATAAAGTAAATTAAAAAAATAGTAAAGTAGGAAAAAGAAAGAAATCAATGAAAATAGGGAAACATATAAATGAAGAAAAAAGAAAATAAATGAAAGAAAAATATGAAAAATTCTAATTGACGGGAAGAAAACAATATATAAAGAAAATAAAAACTGAAAGAAAATAGGCAAAAACTAAAAAAAATGAGAATAATAAATAATATAAGAAAAAGAACAGTAATAATTGAAGGAAAAAATATGAAAAATTATAAAGAAAAAAGTAAATGAAAAAAATAAATAAAAAAGAAGAAAATAACAAATGAAAAAGAAGAAAATAACAAATAAAAAAGAAGAAAATATTGTATTAAGGAAAACAGAAAATTCATTAATCTTAGGAGGCGGTATTTTAAAGTGCATACATATTCTTAATAAAAACATTCGCATTCGTTTTTGGTCTCAATGTCAGTAATCGTTATATATGACTTCACTGTAAACCTATTTCAAATTTCCAGCTTCCCAAAGAATAATAAGATGTTGACAAGAGAACACAGGCACCACATTTGTTCTTGATAATGACTGGGTAAGTCGAAAGTGAATGAATAAAAATAATAAAAAAACAAATATGAACTTCGGACAGTTTATCCACAACTTCGAGCACAAGACTCAACACCTCATCCGAAAATTGAAAAAATACAATAGACAATTAACCATCAAGCCTTGAAATGATGTGACATGTCATAGCGCGTGGGATATGACTCGATGGGCCAGTTGGGCTAACGTCCCCGGCTGACATGTAGTGTAATGACTATATTGAATCCATTGCTAGGCCAGCTACTAAGAAAGTTGGTTCACTGTGTGGTGCGGGACAATGTTTCTCTCCAGAACCTGTACTTATCTATATCCACCATTCGTCCATGCTTAGAATATTGCTGCCACATATGATTCTGTGAACCCTTGAACTTCTTGATAAAATCCAAAGAAGAATCAGCAACATTATCGGTCTTGGCCTGGCTCGGCTTCAGTGACTTTCCCACCGCTATAACGTTGCCTCCCTGTGTCTTTTCTATAAATACTTTCATGGTAATTTTTCGGATTAGCTCTTAGCTATGGTATCTACACTTTATGAATTTAAGCGGAATACTAGACTGGATCTCAACAATTTCTATTTTAGCTGTCTAGATGTAGCCGTAAGTTCTATGCTAACAATTACTTTTCTTGCACTTCTTGCTTGTGGAACTCCCTACCGGCTCCATGCTTTCCAGCCAACTTTAATCTGCAAAAATATAAATGCAATGACAATCGATATCTACTCTCCTTCTGATTACTCTTTTCTCTTTCCGCTCATTATCAATGTTTCTTTTCTTAATTCTTCCACACCCTATACCTCCTTGTGTCTTAGTGGATTTATTGCCTTGTATGGGGTGAAACCGATTAAAGAAAAAGAAAAAAAAAAATCACCCTCACCCACCAAAAAAGAACGTAACATTTTTTTTAAGCGTTTCACCCCAAGCAAGGCGGAAAGCCACTAGGACGCAAGGGGTTACAGAAAATTTAGAGCAAGATCAGATAGAAGTGATAGAAGAAAGGATGAGGAGAAGGGTAGTGGATAGATCAAGGCAACTGGAGATACAGAGGTCAGAGGGAGAGAGAGAGAGAGAGAGAGAGAGAGAGAGAGAGAGAGAGTGAGAGAGTACCGGGAACCCCTTCCTAAACAAGAAACAAGGCGTAAGCCTCTACTCATGTCCAAGAGAAGGGGAGGAGTGTTGACCGGGCGGTAGGAGAGCCTTCCTACTCCTATTACATATAAAACATACAACAACAACAAAAACAGAGGTAACGATGAGGGGGGGGAGGTAATTTGCAAAGAGTCCTGGCTGACACTTGCATTTACCCTTTCGCAACATTAAGTTAAGTTTTAACTTAGTATAAGTCCCATTGTCTATTCTAAAAAGAAATTGAAGAAAATAAGGTTATCCGGATTTAATGCCATGTCATAAATGGCTCTGTCTGAAAGATATTGAGTACTGTAATCTCTATATATAAAATTATGTGACTTCCGTCGGTCACACTCTTTAAAATAGCCACACATTGCCCGATCGAAAGCAAATTTTGGGGAGTAGTGCACATAAGAAAGGGGATACAAAGTGCAGTTGGTTTTACTAGGGTCCGTAGCTTACTACAGTACATTTTCATTCCTTTTTTTTTAAAATTATAATTTTTATTGTTTAACATACAAAATATTACCGTTATTTTAAAAACAATTTAATCAGCAATACTAAATAATGTAGGGATTTTGTGTGTTGCAAAACATTTTAGGAAAAAAGAAATATTAACGTTTGCAAGCATTTGGCTGAATCGTATTTCAATTGAATGATTAGCAGTCTAAGTTGCGTACATCTGAAAAGTAAACAAAGCAATTTTTGAAGAAATAATGGATTTATATCAATTTGATATTTTTGCCACTTCAAACGTCATAAAGGGTTTAGAATAAAAGTAAAACGTTTATTTTAGATACGAGTATCCTCTTCGCTTGATATATATATATATATATATATATATATAGTAGAATTCCTCATATCCGGAATCCTGCATATCCGGACATGATTTGGGTGATATGTAACTGATGTGAAATTTCTGTCTTTCAAGAAATTTACTTTGGATAATTGTTTATGCTTATTTCACCCTAACGGCTTGCATTGGTGCAAAAGATGATGGGAATAAGAGGAAAAGTACAACTTTGGAATTATCACAAAAAGTGGAAATTTTAAACAGATTAGACTCTGGTGAAAGGTCATTGTAACTAATGGCTGAGTTCAACATAGGAAAGTCAACATTGTATTATATAAAATCTTCCAAAAGAAACTATTCTCCAGTGTTCACACTGACACAATGAACAAGGAAATGAAAAAAAACATTATTGTGATGAAACCTGGACTGAAATTGAAAAAACTATTGAAAAGGTTATCAGTTTTATGGAAAGAAAAACAGCATTCAACTATAACGATTGCAATAACGCACGCGGAGTTAAAAAGTGTATTTCGTTTAAAAAGAATTTCAAGAACAAAAGCAAAACGAAATGCAGAAAATGTTGAGACTGACATTAGAAGAGAAAAAAATCATCATGCAACTGCAATTAAAAAATCCTCGTTACATTATTTGTTTTGTATACGTGGCATAATTAATTTAATGGATTTTATTAACATTACAGAATTTTTTTTTTCCTTAAAATCAATTCCGTTTTATTTTACTCACCATTAGCTTATTTTGCTTACTAGAAAACATTGAAAATAAATGTTAAACTGATTTCAGTTCTTTTATTTTAATCTAAATATAACCTCTCATATCCGGACTCATATCCGGAAGACTTTCTTAGTCCGGTTGTCAGGTATTCTGCTGTATATACATAGGCATTACGAGAGCACTGTTGGGAGAGCCCATTATTTTTTCTAGTGCAGGAAGACTAGCAGAACATGTTGAATAATTACGTGTTGACGTGTATGGCGGTGTTCAACGTTCCTTCCACAAACACCAAATTCTCGTTCGCCTTTGGTGTTTTGTTGAGGGAAAGTCAAAGACTGCAATGGAACTTTCTCCCACAGGTAGTGGGGAGAATATGCTTCTTCTGTGGAGGTAAAACAACTCACTTGAGTATCTGAAACACACGTGGAAGATTCTTTCAAATCTCGGAATAACAATAATGATAAGAATAATAATAGAAACATTAGGGAACTGAAACAATAAGAAGCCCATAAATATCCAGGATTTAGCGAAGAAGATGGAATGTGTTAAATACCGAATCGAATTCAAAAACAGTATAACAGTGATAAACACTTTGGCTGTCCCTGTGGCTCAATACAATTTCAACATCCTTGATTGGATTATAGGTGATATTAAGCGAATAGATGTGAAAACTAGAAAGTTTTTCATTTGCCACCATCTGTATCATCCTAATTCTTATGTTGATCGTCTGTTTGTGCCCAGATCCGAGGGAGGAAGAGGATTAATTCAACTAGAATTGTTTTACAAAACCACAACAATCGGTCTTCAATGATACCTGGAAACTACAGAAGCCTGGCTGATGATCTATGGCAAAAACATAAAAGAAATAAGAAACAGTAATAGAGGAAGCCAACAAATTCAGAATGGAATTTTAGGTGAAGAAATGCAAGTAAAGCAGGATACACGGACTGCAGCAGCAAAGAACCTAAGAAAGAAAGCAAATGTAAATGCAATGTATCAAATGCAGAAAAGATGGCAAGATAAGCGTCTTCATGGTCAGTATTCTGCCCGTACTAAGGAAGCAGGTGTAGACAAACCCCGTACCCATCAGTGCTTACATAGTGGAGGGTTAAAAGCTGA